GGGTCAGGGAGTCCCGGCGCCGCGGCTCACCCGCCTCCGGCCGCCGCTCCCTGGGGCGGACCTTGTTATAAATAGTCCTGGGTGTCGCGGACCCTCCTGACCAGTCCCCCCTTCGCCTTGAGGTCCAGGATGTCCAAGGGCCAGAGTCACTGGTTTTAGGCAAGTTTTAGAAAAAACAAATACCCCCAAACTTACTCCTGTGTGCTCTTCAAGGAAACGAAGAGGGTTTAGAATTTAGTGGCGAGAAGAGTGTAGAAAGTGACTCTTAATTCTTTACCCCGATCCAAGGAGGGTTGTAGGGAGATGCAGAGATATATTCAAGGAGAGAACTTGGAATGTGGGGGGCTTGGAGAAGGTGGACGGGTAAGGGGTGCAACGTTAGTGGGTGCTTGACCGTTCTGCTGACTCTTAGGGAAGACATGGCCAGGCAGGTGCAGAGGACTCTGCCACTTGATGTAGTAGTGCCAACATAATTGACGTCAACAGAAAGCTTTTATTACTTTTATATAATATTCTTGTCTGGGTAGTTAAGAGCACCCCATTTTTCCTCACATCTTTAGGGCGGGAATGGATAAGAATTTTTTATAACACCTGGGCATGGCAGTAAAGGATCTGACCTGCTTTAAAGTCCCTCCCAAACTGATCATTTCTAAACCCAAATACGGAGAGTAAAGGGACAAACAACCCATCTAGTACTGTGGCAAATTCAAGTGGCCCCAAAGAGTAGAGAGGAATAAGGGAAGGGTATGTCGATGAATGGAATAGGTTCTCTGGTGGGCCTCAAATGAGAAGACAGCCACTCAGGGTTCACTTTTATTGAACAGAGATGTACAGAGTAGGACAGCTTCGAGGAAGGGAGATATTGGAGGTGACTGGCATAGACATATGCACACTGGGAAACAAAACCAAGAAACAAGTTTACTACCAAGTAGTGGAAGCGAGGCCTGGTGCACATCCTGAGGTCTTAGGTGGTAAGCAGCAAGCGGGGAGGCTGCTTATACCTGGCCAGGTGAGAGGAGACTTGTTCGTTCAGTTCACTAAAGCAAACCCTTAAACGAGAGGTCATTAACCTTTTTGGTCACTGTCTTCTTCAAGATTATGTTCAAAGCTCAGGGCCATTTCCCCAGAAAATACGTATAGGAGCAACAAAATTTTGTATAGAGCTTTTTGGAGTTCTTCGACCCCTTGGAGCCCTGAAAGGTGGCAGAAGGGGTTAAAGTGATAACAGGGATTAAATCAACTACCCTATTTGATTCTCCTCCATTCTCTTTCTCTTTGTTTCTTAAAACTAAGCAGTTAAAAACCCAAAGATGTTTTGAATGTTTCTAGAGAAACAAAGGATATGATTTTGTTCCTCACGCTGGGACCCTTTCCTTTTCTTTTTTTGTAATGTTTTCTTAAAATGTTATTCCAAAAGTCACAAAGCCGAGTTTTATACTGACTGAGGGACATTTAGCACCATTCATGCCTCAGAGCATAAAATGAGATTTTATTTTGCTTATACTATGATGAAAAGATTGTGCCATACCAAGAAGCAGATCCCTAGGGGAGATGTTAACAACTTTGCATTTTCAGTTCAAGTGGAAATATGAATTCCACTTACTGAAGAAAATATTTTTTATATAGTTAAGAAAATATTTCAAAGTAATAATCCTTTTCCTTGACCCTTTTTCCTGACTCTTCAAAGAAGGTCTGTGAGCCAGGTGGTCTCCTGAGGCTAGAGGTCAGATCTGCCCTATTAACTTACAGAGAAAATCAGCAAATGTTTATTTTTTCTCCATATCGTGCAAATTACCATGCCTTTATATAACAAAACTGTATATAATCATAATTATTAAAAATTAATTGTGATAGTAAAAAGAGATTGCTTTAAGTGGTAGGTATCTGTACTAGTTGATCGAGCT